TCAGTAGTCAGCACACTAGTTCAGTAGTCAGCACACTAGTTCAGTAGTCAGCACACTAGTTCAGTAGTCAGCTCCCTAGTTCAGTAGTCAGCACACTAGTTCAGTAGTCAGCTCCCTAGTTCAGTAGTCAGCACACTAGTTCAGTAGTCAGCACACTAGTTCAGTAGTCAGCACACTAGTTCAGTAGTCAGCACACTAGTTCAGTAGTCAGCACACTAGTTCAGTAGTCAGCACACTAGTTCAGTAGTCAGCACACTAGTTCAGTAGTCAGCACACTAGTTCAGTAGTCAGCACACTAGTTCAGTAGTCAGCACACTAGTTCAGTAGTCAGCACACTAGTTCAGTAGTCAGCACACTAGTTCAGTAGTCAGCACACTAGTTCAGTAGTCAGCACACTAGTTCAGTAGTCAGCACACTAGTTCAGTAGTCAGCACACTAGTTCAGTAGTCAGCACACTAGTTCAGTAGTCAGCTCCCTAGTTCAGTAGTCAGCACACTAGTTCAGTAGTCAGCTCCCTAGTTCAGTAGTCAGCACACTAGTTCAGTAGTCAGCTCCCTAGTTCAGTAGTCAGCACACTAGTTCAGTAGTCAGCTCCCTAGTTCAGTAGTCAGCACACTAGTTCAGTAGTCAGCTCCCTAGTTCAGTAGTCAGCACACTAGTTCAGTAGTCAGCTCCCTAGTTCAGTAGTCAGCACACTAGTTCAGTAGTCAGCTCCCTAGTTCAGTAGTCAGCACACTAGTTCAGTAGTCAGCTCCCTAGTTCAGTAGTCAGCACACTAGTTCAGTAGTCAGCTCCCTAGTTCAGTAGTCAGCACACTAGTTAGGGAATCAGTCAGAATGAGAGTTAATGCACTTAAATCACCTGATTAGCTAAAAACACTAAAAACTAGCACTACAAATTAATAAATGAACACAGATTATACAGACATTTCATATTTAGGCATTTATGATTTACATTTGGTATGCATTGATTTATTTGTAGATTATGTTTAATAGATAACTCTTTCATGAAGAAGAAGAAGTTTTATTTATATAGTGCCTTTCCATAGCTCAAGGTCACTTTACATAGTGCTAAACAAAACATTGTGAGTGTATTTTTAGAGGTTGTCATTATACACAGGGGCAGATCTAGAAAATTATTTATAGGGTGGCATGGGGTCTATGAGGGGTGGCAACACCAAAGTAATAATCTATACCATTTAAAATGAAGAAATAAATAACAACATTTCTATATCAATGGCACCAAGTCAAGACACTAAAAAAAACCATGAAAAACCAAAAGATTCTAAATGTGTCTGAGCTGGTATCACTGAAGAAGATTAATATTAAACAGGCTACTTGGAAGGTTTAAATCTTGTTTTAGTGCAGATTTTAACAACACGCACATCTGGGGGGTATTCCAGAAAGCAGGTTATGTGGCATACCCGGGTATGTGTGAGGATAAGCGAGCGGATAACCTCAGCTTTCGGTTCCAAAATCGGAGGTTACTTTCAGGGTATGTAAGTAACCATAGTAACTTGCTCTCTGAAGATAACCTGCTCCGGAGCAGCTTCTGTTCCAGGGTTAGTTCACTTCAGCGCACGCCTGAGCTACTAATTAGCCTTCAGTGGGCCTGACAGATAGCGCACAGCCGCACAACATTATATAATATTACAATATGTAATATAGCCTACTATATATATACTGTATATGTATGATATGTTAATGATGAAGCACTAAAATAAGTAATAAATAAGGTAATATATTATTCTAATATGGTTATTATATTGGCATATATATCAGTTATCTGTATTAATTATAAAACACTATGACAAGGTAATGTTTCATTTATTATATATATATATATATTTATTTATTATATTATCATCTCACACATGGATCGGCATTTTCTATAATGTCTAAATTCTAAATCAGATATGTATTTTGATGTGACTTAATATATAATTAGCATCAAACTAACTCTGTATTAATTATAAAACACTATGACAAGGTAATGTTTCATTTATTATATATATATTTTTTTATTTATTATATTATCATCTCACACATGGATCGGCATTTTCTATAATGTCTAAATTCTAAATCAGATATGTATTTTGATGTGACTTAATATATAATTAGCATCAAACTAACAATATAATACATATTCTCAAGTATTAAAAAATACAAGTATTGAAGCATGGCATGCTTTTTCTTAGCGTATGTTTCCACAGTGACTCGTCGATTCCTCGCTCTGTTGAGTCTTTACCAGGAACATACTCTGAGTTGAGTGAACTTACTCCCGGACGCTGTTTCGGAACCGCACACCTCGAGTAAGCAAGGTCTGGGTTAATCAACCGAGAGTTCAGGGTTTAGCTGACGGTAAGTTAACCCTGCTTTCTGGAATACACCCCAGGTGCCGTCACAAACAGTGAAGCATTTTCACAAGCACTTGATTCAGTTGAGTCTGAGCTGTTTTTAAGAAGTTCTGTAACTCTGTCGTGACGTACCAGTGAGCAAGCAGTGTGTTATGATGAACTGCTTCACTATACAGGGAGTGAACTGAGATGCATCTCTTTTGTTGCTCATGTGTGGAGGTGCTTTACTATAAAACACTATCTTCATTACTGTTATTAGATAGATCATAACATTACATTAAAGATTATTGATTCATTCCAACGGTCTATATAAACCTATCTGAATGGGTTGTACTGATTTAAACTCTTTAAAAGATTCAAACACAAACCTTTCTTCAGCAGAATCAGATGCAGGAGCACGGCGCAGAC